AGCCAATGCCCAGCTACACTTTATGCAAGCCATTAGCTTCAGTTGGGTTGCTCCAGTTAAACTGAAGGCAGGCATTGTAATTGATCCTGCTTTCAGTTGCTGAGATCCAACTGCTGGTGAGTTTAATAGACACTGCCACATGCATTTGAGAAATGCAAACAAGGCCACCAAGTGACCCAGGGTGATTCAGGAATTCCATGAAGGTTGGGGAAATAGCTCTGGCTTCTCACTAGCATGAATGAATGCAGAGTTTGGCCCACTCACTGTTTGTACAATGTGGCTTTTCCATAGCATTTCCGGCATTTTCTTTAGGTTTCTGCAACGTTTGATGTTTGGAAGATGTCTCATGGTATCACTCAAATTCCAAGTGCATTCCACTTTTTGCTTAGTTTAGTTCACTGTGGGCGCGTCTGCACGAGATGCTACATTGCTGTGTGGCTTTGTGTGGCTTTGCAGGACTGCATGTGTGGCTGGATTATTGAAAATGGGAACAATGAGTTTAGAAACCATTTTAGACATCTCTGCCTCTGACACACAACCTTAACTGTAGTTGTCTGGCTTTCTTAGATTGTCACACTTCTCTCTTGTGTTTTTACTCTAAAACCAGTACTAAGAGACAGCCGGGCACATGTGTAGACATGCCCTGTTACAACATTAGGCAAAGTTTCTGCCCACTTAGTGGTTCCATACTTCTCAAATTGTACCATTGATTTCAGTGGGCCCACTCATGGGGTAAGGTGCTAATGAATAAGAGTGACAGGATTTACACCTCCTGAGACTGAGATGGAAAGGATTGCATATATCCATGTAATATGATGTCCACTGAATATCATTGGACCAGAAATGGAGTGATCAACTCAGAAAAATCTCCCATCTGTTTCATTACTCTCCTTTTATAATAATAATTGACCTTGACTATGATCTTTGACAGATTGAAGATAGGAGTAACCCACTGAAGTCAATATAATTGCACTTGTGTAAACTAATGCCAGTGAGAGCACAGTAATCTAGTCCAAAGTCTTCCGGCCTAAATTAGCTGCAGCTGGGCTGAGATTTCATTTACACTTAAACTATATGGCCCTTGCCAATAGCAGAGCTATTGGTGTAAGACCAAGGCCACAATCACAGATAAATATAAATGAATACCCTGACAAATGACAATTTCTGTTTTTCTTATCCTGTTCATTTTCCAACTTTGATATTGCTGAGAATTTAGGGACAATTCCTTTCAGCTTTAAGGGTGCACTTAATTTATGGTCAACTTTTCTACTTTTTCTTAGGATTATTTCTATTCTGTGATCTCTGGAAAAAGAAAAAAGCATGGGAAAGTAAAGAACTATTTGGTGCTTACTGCACTCTTGTGAGTATAAAATAAAAATCTCAGGTATGGAAGGTTTCCAGATACTGCACTCCAGACTCAGAGAGACCTTGGATGGAAGGATTCCTGGCTTTCTTGGCATCAGTGGGAGTTTTGTTGCCAACTCCAGTAGGACCAGGAGTTCAGCCAGCTGTTGAGAGTTCTTTGCCACAGGTGACAGGGTCAAAAGGGCTTGTCTCAAGGCTAGATGCTTAATGGTTTCTGCTAACTAAAACTATTCTCCTGCTGGCAAGGCAGGAATCAAAAATTCTTTGGTCACAGGATACTGCCTAAACAGTTACTGTTGCATGTTTGAAGGGTTGCATATTTCCAATATTTACATATTTGAAAGGTTCACATATTTTTAGAACATAGGAGTTTTGATTGAGTTAATGGGCGACTGTGGGGATACTCCAAATGATACAAACACCATGTGTGAATCTGGAAGAAACTTTCAGACTACAGAACACCTACTGGCCTGTCCATGTATAGGGGAACCACGCACCAACAAGGACCACACTAAAGCTACAGATTGAGCAGTAATGCATGCTTGTTTCTGGACCCAAACTTGAACATGTTGACAGGAGATGAGAAGACTATGAATCTTTTAGAAGTTCAGCTCACATACTTGTTTTTTCTTGATATGAGATCACATTTCCTGGCTTTGACTTGAACAGGCATCTTTATCAGTTCACTGGTCTGGGCACTGTGTTGCCCTGTTATTGTTGAGATGACATCACCTCCATGAAGAGCTGTGCTTTGGCCTGTAATGAACATTATGGAAAGAGAGCCATAACTCCTGCCACTGAACATTTACAGGACACAGGCTAATCAGTGCCTGGAGGACTAGTTCAGTAGCGATGGTATCCGAGAAGGACTTGGGACACCTATGTTTTGTTCCCAGCTCTGAACTGCCCCTGTGCCTGTGAGTCAGTTGCTTTCCCTGTCTGCTACTGTGCGTCTCCTCCCATCCTTTGTCTGGCTGATTTATGTGTCTGTATAGTGCTAGCACAGCGGGGCCTTAATCACCACTGTAAAACAAATAATCAATAATAATAAGAACTCAAAGCATCAGGAAGACAGCACAGGATCTTCAGCAACAAAAGCACAAGCTGGAGAAAAACCTATGGTGCATGCTGAGTACGTACTCACTGTGTAGGGCTGCTGTGGCTTCGTTGCTGTAAACAGGCAAGCTAGCTAGCTTAAGGCAAGTTCTGGTGTATCTACAGATGCTACAGTCACACCTCTGATTGCAGTGGAAAAACAGCCAGCACCTGTGTTAACAGGAGTCATGTATGTGCAGAGATAGAATGAGCCCCTTGTTTTAAAAAGTCAGGCTCCATTTTATTACTTCCCACAATATAGTCTAGCTGCCATATACAATACAACTGTGTGATAATTCCTGGCTTTAGAATATGGGTTTCCTTGCCAGTGTGTTTTATAGTTTTTATTAATGAGCTCTTATATGTGGCTTGGACTATACAAAGAATTAGGAAACTTAGGTGTATGTTTTTTTGAATTGCCCAGACAGTAAACAGGAATACTTTGTAATAACAGACAGAGGCCCTTGTAAATGCACTTATAAAGGGCAGGAGAGGTGATCTGAAACATAAACGATTTATTTTTGTGGCTAGAGGAGAAGAAAACAATTAGTTATTTTAACACATGGCCCTAACAGTTGCTGCTATAATAGGATATTGAAAATTTCTCTGTGTACCTCTTTGGATATAGGTTTTGTTCAGTGGTTTCTCTTTCATAGATTCATGGATGTTAAGGACAGGAAGGTACCTTAAGGAGAAGGAAAACGCTGAGAGGGAACATTGGTGTACCTAACTTTGGGGTTGCTGGGGAGAGAGCCAGTATACAGTAATTGTCATTAATCAGTAAAAAGGGGAAATCGCTCTTCAGTGATATGTATGTGAAAACTTCCAGGTTTTTGTTCTTTGACAGAAATGTGTTAAATGCTAGCCTGTGATTTTTGTTACAAGCACTGAATTAGGTAATAGAGCAGCTATTAGCTGTCCAGGTTCCATATTTTAAAATGGGTCCTGGTTAAAATCCTACTCCCCCATACCAGCTCAGTTTTGCTGGCTTGTATGTAGAGGGCACAATCAAATCTCTCTTCCTTACTTGCCCACCTGCAGGGAAAAGAAAGTAGCAGCCTCAAGGGAGCTATTATCTCTGCTCCCTGCTACCTGTGATAGTCACCTGTGCAAGGGAGTAGAGTAGGTGGGTGTGTACCACAGAGCAAGATTGTGCTCAGTTATGAGCTCTGTGTCTAAAATGAATGATTTCTGATGGCCTCAGCTGTGCCACTTTGCCTGGGGGTAGAACAATAAACTGGAGATGAAGGTAGTGTGGTTTGCTGCATAATATTATTGCTCTTTGATATGGTTTAGGCTGTTCTGGTTACCCAGGGAGTAGCCGTGGCAAGACGCAAATAGGCTGCAGATAGCTTCAAATCTCCAAACCCCTCTCTTCATTACTATGCAGTGCAAGTGCCTGTTGGCACAAGGACAAATTCCACTGTAAATTATGCGTGATTTACATGAGAAGCTCATTAATTCTCCAACGCCGGATTTAGATGGTTTCATTTGTAAAGGGTGTCATTTTAAACACTGCCCAAATATATTTGCCACTATCTGCTGACTCAGAGTGTGTGCTAAAACGTGATAAAACAATAAAGGGTTATATTCTTTTAAAAAAAGGATGCAACCCTCTAAATGTGGAGATTTGTGCCTGTTAGACACAAATTGAGTCCCTTTGTATTAATTTTAACCATCTCAGCATGTGGATGCAGACCTGAGTCAGTGCTTCCAGGGTTTATATTCCCATTTATAAGCAGAAGCCTTGTTTTCTTTCAAAACTCTCTCCTTAGGCTAAGCCAGGGTCCTAATATTTATTATATGTGGGTCTGAAATTTCTTGTTAGGACTTCCCATTTTCCCCTTCCTACCTTTAGTTGAGGTGGGTGATGAGTCTCCGGGTATCGCATGCTGGAAAACAAATGGTGATAAAGCAGCAAGATGCCAAGAATGCCAATTAAGCTTTGAGCTGTGGCTGTGATACACATCTTGCCTGAACTCCAAGCAGCAGTGCTGCTGCATTTAAATGGCTCTGTGTACTGTATACGTTGCCTGCTGAAACAAACACATTGTCTCTTCGTGTAGTAACAGCACTCATCGATTTAGAATTGTTTTGTGGAAAGGCAGAATCCTTTAGTCAGATTGGTATTTGTTTCAGTTGTCATTATGGTATGTGGGGCAGATTCTGTTCTCAGTGACAACAGAGTAAATTCAAAACAATTTTACTGTGGTCACTAGAACCTGGTGTTATTTTAAAAGGATATAGATGGCCAGGGTGAGATCTTTAATAACAGTCGATCTTGACCTAAGTCTGTTAATTGTTAAACTCATGGACTTCTGTGGAATCAAAAGTAGGCTAATCCCGAGTGCCTGCAAAATCTTGGTCAGACAGCACAATGTGACATAAGAGTATGAAACTCATATTTAAGCTTATTTCCATCCAGAATTATTTTCACATATAAAGCCATACAAATAGGCATCCAACAAGTATTCTCTGCCCTCTGTCTTTCCTATCTAATAGCCTGTTCCTGTTGAACTCTGCAGAAAGTTGTTTTGCTCATAGCTAGATCTTAAATTAAGCTGTGTATATACATTAAAATAATCTGGGACATTTCTCCCAGTTTAGTTCTCCTGGTAGAGAAAACTTCCCAGTCATGCATGCAGATATTTGAATGCTGAGGCCCTGAAGTGTGGAAAGCTTGCAGTGCTGACACTGCACAGCTAGGTGGTGTGTGTGCTGTGAACACATTTCAGCATGCTTTTCAGGCTCCCTTAGTCTGCCTTGCAACACATGGCAGAATTGCATAGGGCAGCTTTGATTGGTTAACCTACACTGCCCATGGTCAGCCTGTTTCCCTGCAGCAATGTAGAGATTGTGAAGGGGGCATGTGCTGCTCCCTGTTTGGAGCAGCAGAGTCCAGAGAATGACACACTGTCTCCTGCAGGCGGAGTGGGGATTCTGGAGGACTGTGTTCTCTTCTGAGAGATGCCACAGCCCAGAAACTCTCCAGGGAATGAGTTAATCTTGGTTGTTCCCAAATTACTGTTCTACTGGAGCAGCCATTTTTACCATAGGAGAAAAAGCCTGAACATCTCATGCTTTTTCTCCTTTTTCCAACTCATGGTTTATCCTGGGAGAGCAGCAGCTACCCCAGAAGAAACTGAATGAGTGTACAAGACCTTAGTATCACAGTATCCTGGGTCCCTGCACATCAATAAATATTTTTTGTGGGGTGAGGGGTTGCAAATTAGAGAGAGAATGAAAATAAGTACATTAAGCTAGAACTTTTTTTTGCAAAAAAATAGCTCTTCTGTGTGCTTCTTGGCTATCACATGGGGTATAAATTTGTCAAGAAAACTGTTGTTCATAGTGGTTAGGCAAATAAAAAATCCTATGTGGACCTGCTTTTGTTTTGGAATCTGTACCTGTAGCCCATAGGTGTTATTTTCCTAGGACAAATATAGTTATAGTCATGATCAAAGAAATCACTATTAAAAGTTTGCATTGAGTCAGTGCAGTTCTTAACTCTTATTTAATCATACCACTGCACTCAGCAACAGAAATCTTTCCCATTAGCTAAAAGGACTGTGTGTTCATTTGCAACTTTTATTTATTGTTTTAATCCAGCATATGGATTCAGTTGTTTCCTGATGGAACTGAAAATCAGATGATGGCATAAGTGTTCTATTGCACGTTAGTATACAGTGCAGTTTTAAGTTGCAAATGATAATTATTTAAAATGGGGAGTTACAGTTAGAAATTTTTTAAGGATGATTCAAACAACAAGAACAGGACAAGCTGCCAAACTCACCTTTGAAGCCTCTGGCCTAAGGAAACTGTTTCTTGACATCTCATTATTTTTCTCCTGTTATTAGAAACAAATGTAGACTTCCTGCACATCTATTAAATATGGCATAC